CAATGGGACGAATTTGCTGTCCCTTGATTAACCAAGGGAGGAGATTAAAAGAAAAACAAAAAATGTGCGAGGCGAAAAAAAAATAGACATAAAAGATAGAAAAATGAGAGAATTTATTCGCCGCGGGTGTGGCGTAAGAAACGGCCGATAATTTAATTCATTGTGTATGTATACAGACAAAAGTAAATATAATATTACGATTATAAATATTAAACTAATAAAAAAATAACAATATTGTACCCCTCTGTACATATAAATATATATTACAATACGATGATTATTACTATATGATTTATTATAAATATATATATATATATATACATAAATATAAATATATCTCATGAATTCACATTATTATGTTTATTATTGTTTACTTATTATTATTATTAAAATTATTATCATTGCGATGATAACGAGAATGATGATGATGATGATGATGATTATTATTATTATTATGATAATATTATTAATATTTAAGAAAAGGTTCACAACGTGCCGTGTGTATGTGGGAATAAAATATATAATATAACGGACATTGTTCAATTCAATCTAATGTCTTTGTTGTTTCTCTTTTCCCTTTTATCTGCTACCTTTTAAGACCTACAAGCAATAAATATTTTTGTTGCGAGTAAAATAATAATGTCGTATGAAAGTAATTGATACAATTTCCTTTTCATTCCAATTTATTATTATATTTACGGTGGAGTACATTCGAAGAGATGTAGTAAAAAGATTCTCCAAAAACAAATACTTTTTCTATAAACACATGAATACTGAGATGCTCATCTCACTGTATTTAAAGATAACGTGAAATGTTATTGTTATTTTATACTTACAATACCTTTTTATTTACAATGACATCTGAACGCCACATGTAAAGTAAAATGATTTCTTTTTAATTCAAGTTTCCATTTTTCCTTTGATACATTCTATTGTGCTTAATTTTCTATGTTGAAAAAGCAACATAAATTATGATATAAAACCTAATGTACCTGTATCTTTCAAATTCATACTGTGCGCCCCAAAGGAATACGATATCATCGATAAGTCGATTAGCAAACATGGCGCTACCCATTATTCATTTAGTTATCAGTGCATCTGTCAAACGTGACATGAGTCTTCATCCAAAAACCACATGTCAGTTTCACCGATAGCCTAGTCTTATATTTAAAACGAAATGGGTATTTTTTTCGCAAAGAAGAAACCGCCGAGTCGTGTCACAGAACAAGACAAAGCTGTTTTGGTAAGTTGCTTTTGCACATTTCCTAACCTCTTCACTGTCGTTACAGAACTTTGTTAAAATACTGTATTTTTTATAGCAATTAAAACAAACCAGGGATAAAATCAAACAGTATCAACGAAGAATAGAGCAAACGCTCGAAAAAGATCGGTTACTTGCAAAAAAACTTATTCAAAATGGACGAAAAGAGTTAGTGTCAGATTTTTTTATGTTCAAATGTTTGTTTAATTGTTTGGAATACAGTTTTGCATTATTTTTTTTTAGTCGAGCATTACTTTTGTTGCGGAAAAAGAAATTCCAAGAACAATTATTATCTAAAACTGATGGACAGCTTGAAAACTTGGAACGTATGGTACACGACATAGAATTTGCACAAGTAGAAATGAAAGTTGTGGATGGCCTGAAAGTAGGAAATGTGGCATTGAAGAAATTACACGACTTGTTGTCAATTGATGAAATTGATAAAATTATGGATGAAACCAAGGAGGGCATTGAAAAACAAAAAGAAATAGATGAAATATTGTTAGGTGCTTTGACAGAGGAAGACGAAGGTGACGTGGAAGCCGAGCTTGATGCTTTATTGATAGCAGAAATTGAAGAAAAAGCACCTGATGTACCAGAAGAATTACCAGAAAACAAAAAAGGTAAGTTATTGAATCTTAAGTATTACTTTTTTGTATAATAAATATTTAATAATTCTTTCTTACAGAGCGTACAAAAGAAAAAATGCCAGAAGCAATTGCTTTGGAAGCATAAATAATATTAAGTATCATTAGTAAAGTTTTTATTCTATTGGTACTTTGCCCAAAACCCTATGTATATATGTACAGTACCTTGTGATAAGGCTCAAAATAAGATTTAATTCATGTTGTGATTTCAATAGAGTGCTATGAAAAGAAAAGAAGTTACTTTTACTTGAAAAATGTTTAGACAGTCTTTGATTACATAGTGCGTGAAAGTAATTTTATAACAGTAAACAACAGTTTTGAAGCAACACGAATATAATTCAGGCAAATGTAAATCAATCTTTCACAAATTAAGTGTGTCACATGGCTTATACAGTGTTAATTATATTTGTACTATCTTGAATGTATAAATATATTTGTATCTTATTATTGGCCTCTTATATGTAGGTATACAAGAAATGCAAAATATTAGAAAGTTTTAATAAATATGATTTTATTTCCTATGTTGTGAAAGTTATTGAATACCTTAAAAACTTATCATGGATTTTTCAAAATTAAAATAAATGTATGTAACACAACATTTGAAAGTCAAGATTTCATTCAAGGGTAGGAAAAATCACATATTTTTTTAATTATATTGCCAATATTTTTAGACTTAATAATATCCTACATTTATTTACTCACTGCATGTTGTTTATGTTCATTTGCTATGCACGTGAATCTGTGGAAATTATTCTGAGACTGGTGTGACAAACGATTCGTAGTGAATTTCGTAACATTTACGTATCTAAGTATGAAATATTTCATACGCTAGCTAGAATTATTACTATCTATAAAATACTAAAACTAATACGAGAAGAAATTATATTGATCTTAACATGTGAACATATTAATTTGGTTATTAAATGTATAAAATAACTTAATAATTAATGTATACTCGGATAATAATTAAGTTAAATGATTTAAATTAACTTAATTTTCTTTTAAAGTTCTTATTGCACTTCGTGTACAGAAAACAGTCCATGACATAGCTTGAGTAATTGGGCCGCAAGACGTTATAATTTAATACAATTTGACCCGAACTACACAATTTGACCTGTAATTCACATAATTAGGCGAACACCTCGAAGCCTGTATCCAATGTCATATGCGATGTAAAATTATGAATCTATTAGTCGTTAAATTCGAAGTATTACGTGATTTAATTATACTAAAATTAAATTATGCAGAACGTAAAAACATTCTAGAAATTACATACAAAAATGATTATAAAACATTTCAATTTAAACATACCTTCTTTCATACAAATTTTTAGTAGGAACTTCCAAGAAAAATTAATTTTTATTATTTCAAATTCGTCGTTGATGTAATTTAGTTCATTTCATTTCATTAAAAGAAGTATTCCACAATGTAATATGAGGATTACCTTGTGACATTTTGATAATTGAATATTATTCAATACAATTCCTTTAGTTTACTTGAAGCTTCGTACTTTTATATAACACAAATTTAGACACCTGTTTTTCGTGACGTCAAACAGTATCCACATGAAACAATTTTTGTGTAGCTCATCAGTTGTATTTATATACTTAAGAATGAACTCCGGTTGAATAGAAAATGTTCGTCAGTCATAACTACATCTGCAAGATCCGGATGAGACTAGCTTATGGCGTCAGCGACAACGTACAGATTGTTTTAACAAATTGCATGACGCCCAGAGAATCATTTTGACGACTCCCACAGATTAACACAATTTCAATGGTCAGGGACAATCAACGCGAGAAAATAATCATGATCGACTCATAATCGAGCATTTAAAATCAATTATAGATGCTCGATTAACCTATTGCACAAGAAATTTCGCGTAAATATGTTAACTCGAATCGGCAAGTTATAAGATTTCATAATATCAAGCAGTGACCTTCGCAAGGTTCAGAACCGCGGGAAAAGTTTGTTCATCGGAGTTTGGTACTTAGAAAAAATTGATAAGCAATACATTGGAAGTTGGAGGAAATGCATGGACATAATTCCAGGAAAATCATGCAGGCCACTGGCGGAGGATCGCACGCTGTGCACGTTGCTAGTAGTAAATTACAGGAAGTATCGGAGTCTCTTGATATTTAAAATGACGCCTCTACGGCTCTGCGATTCTGTATTTAAAACCGGATGACCTTCGCGGATGGGGGAGACGGAGAGAAAGGAAGAACGGCCAAAGAACGGGATCCCTTGACTAACCTCCGTTTCAAACTCCTTCCTCTTTCTTTCAACCTACGAAATGCTCTTATTTGACAGTATCGTACACTTCCGGGCTTGGACACTCGCTATTTTAGTATGTTCGTTTGCAGGAATGATGGTTTTCGATTGCGTATTACTAAACTTATTAAAATCGTTTCATAAATATAGAATAACTTGTTTAATGAACATAATAATATATATTACATTTATTACATCGAAGAAATTTGGCAGCTCGAATTGCTTAACACGTAGAAGTTTAAATTCGAAATTAATAAAATTGACTAAAAGCGTCATTTCCTTTGGTGTTATATTTATGTGAATTTTTCTATCCATATAAATTTAAATTCTAAAATGAAAAAAATAGTAATTAATAATTAATTAATATATAAATTTGATAATATTTCGTGTTGCACAATATTTGTATTCTATTCCATGAAACGATGACTATCGTAACCCTCCTACTTTTATTGCAACGTAATTTCTAAAATGTCACCAGTGATTTCATCGCCTGAAAATGATCCCGACGATACTCTTTTTATATACAGATACAAGCTAAGAGCACTTAAAACTGTCAGTCTTGCTATTAACATCGATTTTCTCTCTGTTAGCGATGGCGTTATTATTGCGATCGGAATCGCGAATGACTACAGAATTCAGTTGAGACGCAATTTGGTTAACCATTTTCTTTAGACAACGGGCTGGTTTTAAATGATTTGTATGTGCAAATTACATCAATTTTTTAAATTAAAGTAAATAATTAGAAATCACGATAAAGTATATTGCTCATTTTCCGTTAGAAATAAAAATGACATGCGTACTTAAGAATGTTATAGCAATAATTTAAAACCAACTAATCTCTTGCAGATTAAATTTTATTGTATCTGAATTTAATTAGCGATTGCATTTTGTGATAAGCTACTTTACATTCGCAGTTTCGTACGAAATACCCGTTGCGCAAAATAATTTGCGGGAGAGAAGAATACCGCTTATCACATTCAAACTATCACAGATAACATGTTAGCTTATCTGCGTCGCATTAAAAGGAAACCGTCCACGTTGTTTGATGAACTCCAAACCCTTTATTTTTGTTGCTATTTGTCCTGCCTAAAGTTATGCTTATTAAAATGAGAAAGTATTCACTTATCAATATGGTAATAAAGAATAAACTATCGTTTAACCGATTAATTGCAAAATCAAAAATAAAATATCCGTTGCAAAATTAAACAGGATCTGTATTTCACTGCTACTGAAAGATTGTAGTTTTTTATGTAAATTTTCATAGCCAATGATTTCGAAGATAAGGAAAAATAAACGCATTTGTAGTTTCCGTAGATTAAAAATAGCGTATGCGTTTTTAATTTGAAAAATACAACCTATCCGATATAACCGCTTGTTTTTCTACCTTTGTACTTTTACTACGCAAGGAAACAACGATGCACCTTTGAATAAGATTAACAATGTGCCAAGCTCAAATTGCCTGTTCCATTTATTTGCATAGATTCATCCACCTTTATTGGCGCTGCCACGCCAAATTTACATTGAATTACTTCTACATCTATTCCTCTGATTCGACGTGCGAGATATTCCGGGCTGACTTCCCGCACAATATGTAACAGTTCTTCGTGTTCACAGTCTTTGAAGATTGCGGAAGTGGCAAGATCAAAGTAGAACTTCTTTGCTTGAATTATCATAAATTACACACTGTATTCCTTCATAAGTATATATAATGTTTTCGGAAGATTTCTTTTTTTGATAGAGTCACGAGTCCAATTAATGGTAATCGAAAGTAACATGCGAAATAATGTAACGTGTAATTACTAAATCGAAGAATTTATAATATGACATACTGCTCAAACACTTTACATTAGATTAACATGTTTTGCTGAGATGTTTGTCACAAATTTCTAATTGATAAGATTGTGAAATCTGTGGACATTATTTATTATCATTGGGAAAAACGTTCGACTCGTTTCCTTTTAAATTGTACTGAATTGATTAAGACGAAGTAAATAAATGATATCAAAAGTGCGGACGTACCTGAGTACCAGTAAACTCAGAAATTCTGAGTACATTTTCAAATTCAGACCAATGCATCGGATTACATGATCACAAAAAAGTTTGTGGACTTTATCTGAACCTTTATCAGATACATTAAGTTATAATTATGATAGATGATCAGTCAGTTGCAGATGTTTATGCTGATATACATTCGCTGACTTTCAAAGAGACAGAGATTGAAGAGAAATATCTGTACACTATCATTAAATCTATAAGAATTGAAATCAAATAAAACTAATTGAAGTTTTAATTACCAATAATTTAGTTTTAAAAAGTCACGTGTACATTGTAAGTGCACACTATCTGCAGTCTACTAATAAGAGCGTTTGTACTTCCGACATAATTTGAAACTAATAACTACCTGCAATTGGAATCGATTTCTAAACTTTCTTTCGGTGTAGGTATATCAAGTGATTTCAAACACTAAGTTTATTGATAAACGGTGAAGAGAAAGCTTTGCTCAGTGAGATTATTTGAGGGAGTGGTCGAACCAAGGAAACTGCCATTTAACCTTGGAAAAAAGAAACAGTCTTCTTCCATTAATTGGACAGGGGAACAATGGAGTAATGTCCTACGTACTAACAAGTTGAAATGAGTCATACGTATATATATGAGATGATACTCCACAACCGAAAGTAAGTGCACCACTTTGTACACTCGTCTCCCTGAAATAGGAGACGCATAACTTTATGCTGGAACCCTGTCTCCTACAAGTGGACCTCATTCAGTCAAATACGGACGATTCTTGTATTTCTCTAGTATGTACCTTATATTCGAATATATTCTAATATATAAATGTTACGGTAAATTCGATTAATTTGGAAATTACGCATAACCCCCCGGCAATTATGTATAATCGCCAGTAACATTGGAGAATAATTATACATAATGATTGGGGGATTAAGTATAGCCCCAGGTTTATCATATTTCCCGTAACATGTACAATAATGAGATTTTAATTTTCGAGCATAATAAGTATACTTTATTTTCTATAAAGTTAAGTAATCACTGTATATCAATCGAAATGCTACAGATTTTTTAATTTCTGTAACTTTGTAATATATAATCGCACAAATACCTCAATACCCCAACGTTGTACTATCTCAGCATCAAATTAAATGTTACTATCAACATTGAGATTTCTCTCAAACTGATTCCAGCAGTCTACAAATTGACA